TAAATAAATTTTAAGTAATCCTTAATAATTCTAATAAAATTTTAGACAATCCAAAAGAAATTCAAAAAAAATTACAAAAAAAACTTAAAGAATTCATAAATTAATCTTAAAGATAAATTACAAAAAAATTCTAAAGAAATATAGAATTAAAACTTTGAAAAATACTAAAAATAAAGATCTTATTAAAATAAATAAGTAAAGGTGAAAATAGAATAAATTACTTTATAAAAGATGTTATCTTAAGTAAGTTACTAATAGTCAAAGGATTGATTCTTAATGGTTAAAAATGGCAACTTATAGATACAAGATGAGGTCAAGGACCAAGAATCAAAATCAAGAGAATAAAGTATAAAATAAAAAATATTCAAAGATTAAGTAAAAGTAATAAGTGTTAGGCATAGGATACTTTTATAGTTAGTAAGATGCTAAAGGATCTTAGGACCATATATGTAAAAGTCAAAGAGTGGAAGTTGTCTTCTAGGACAGCAACTACCACCTATAAATATTGGGTGCTGGAAGTAAGAGATATCTTATTCCATTCTCTCTTTGTATAAAACCTTCTTGATGCTAAGTATTGTAATTTAAAAATGTTTATTCTTCAATACATTATGGGCCCACTCATCTTTAGTTATGAATTTTGAAGTTCTTTGAAGTCTTACTTGTTATGAAGATTAGATCTTTTGATTGTTGTTGATATTAAGATTTGGTATCATCTAACTTCATTGTTGCATCTAATTGTTGATGTAGTTTTACTCTTATTTATTATTAAGTATATTAATAATCTTACGCATAGATAATAGAGGTAAATACATATCAAAATATTTTGATGAATTCTTAAAGATTCAAGGTATTGCAAAACAATCTTCTACTTCCTACACTCTACAAGAAAATGGAGTTGTTTTAAGAGTAAATTGTAGAGATAGCAAGGAATATGTTTTATGTATAGAACTTTGATTTGGAGTATTAAGCAAAAGCAATGGTAAATGCAATGTATATAAAAAATAAGTGTCCAATAAGTGCATTCACATCAATGATTCTAGAAGATGCTTGAAGTAGCAAAAAACCTCATATTTTACATATGAGGATTTTTGAATGCATTACTTATACAAAGGTATCAAATTGTATGAGGTCCAAACTTGATGCAAAAGATAAAAAAATATGTGTTATTAAATATTATGAAGATAACAAGGCATATAAGCTTATGTATTTAGAAACTAAGAAGATTATTAAAAGTCGTAATATAGAACTTTTGGAGCATAAGAGTACTTATGAGCACTTAGAGATGTGTCTAAGTAAAAATAATGGTATATTAGTAGACACATCTTCAATTTCAACAAAAAAAGAAAAAAAAATATAATAACATTGATGATGGTGGAAATTCAAATCAAGATGAAGAGCCAAAGAAGATAGACCATAGTATACCTACAATTATTAGAACCAATAATGAAGATAATCAAGATGTTGAAGATGATGATGATGATAATGAAGAGTACCAACTTTTGAATGTAAAGAAACAAATTTTAAGAGAAAAGAAGCTTATAAGAAATTTTAGAATAAAAGAAGATGAAGCTTCAGCAACATAAAAGAGATATCCTTTGAGAAATAGAAAACAACTTGATGGATAGTAGAAGAACCACATCTCTCCTAAAGTAAGTTAAGAACATGCCAATGTTGCATTCTTTTCTAATCTATTGAGTTTATGTGATGCAATAAAGTCTACGGATGCTATAAAGTAGAAGAATGTGATGGAAGAAGAATAGAGTAAATTATTCATGGACAATGGAACATAAAAATTGATTCAACTTCTACCAAATCAATCTTCAATTGGTTATAAATGGATATTTAGAATCAAAAAGAATTTAAATGTTGTGAGATACAAGTCTAGATTGGTTGACAAAGGCTATTCACAAGTTGCTGGTATTGATTTCAATGAGATATTTGCTTCCATGGAAAAATTCACCACCATTAGAACTATTGTGTCAATTGAGGTAGCAATGGACTTTGAGATGCATCAAATGGATGTGAAGATGGATTTTTTGAATGAAAACTTTAACGATGACATCTACATAGATCAACTTCAAGGATTTATAGAAGAAGTACTTATTGTTTGTAAGTTGAAAAAAAACTTCTATAGACTCAAGAAATTTCTAAAGATATGGTACCAATGTATTGATACATTCTTTATAAATGAAGAATTTGAAAGGAGTGAATCAGATCATTTTTTATATATAATGCAATCAAATAAATTCATATTGATTGTCATCCTCTATATTGATGATTTGATCATCTTAATCAATACTATGAAAATGATTAATTGGTTGAAGGAAAAGTTAAAAAAGAGTATGAGATGAGTGATTTAGAAAAGCTTCACTATTATTTAGAAGTAGAGTTTATGAAAGATTATGCTAAAAAAACCATTGCAATGAGCCAAAGTAAGTACATTGAAGAGATGCTGAAACAATTCCACATGGAGGAATGTAAGTATATTGGAATATCTTTTGAGGATAATTTGAAGTTGATAAAGCTCAAAAATTAAAAAATTGCTGAAGTTGAAGGTCAAATATAAGGTATTCTATACAAGACAGTAGTGAATTCACTTATATATGCAATGGTTGGGACAAGGGTGGATTTTATATATGTAGTCAATGTTGTCAGCCAATACATGTCAAAGGTTGAATCAATCTATTGAACAAACATCAAAATGATCATGAAGTACTTAAAAGATACTTTGTATTTTCAAATTATGCCTTGGAAGTGATAATATTACTTTGTATGTTTATTGTCATGCGGATTGGACTCAAGATGCAAATGATAGAAGATCAACAATAGGATATGTATTTTTTATTGGAATAAGAGCTATTTCATGGAATTATAAGAAACAACCAATAATTGCAAGGTTAACAATAGAGATAGAGTACATGGTAGGAAGCCATTGTACAATGAAGACAATATGGCTAAGACAACTTTTAGAGGACATTGAAGTATTACAAATGGAAGTAATTTCAATAAAGTGTGACAATAGTAAAGCTTTTCCAAATCACTCGTCTTATACTCTTTTTTATGAATCTAAAGCATCATTCAAGGACCAAGCATATTGACATTCAACATCACTTTATAAAAAAGAAGATTGAAATGGAAGTGATTGATATGAAGTATTATGCAATAGAAGACATACTTCATATCAATTAAGATTTATCTAGGATTTATATAGGACCATGTATATAAAAGTCAAAGAGTAGAAGTTGTCTTCTAGGGCAACAACCACAACCTATAAGTATTAAATGTTGGAAATGAAAGATATTTTATTTCATAATTTCTTTGTATGTAATCTTATTGATGCTAAGTATTGTAACTTCATAGTGCTTGTTCTTCAATAGATCCTAAATAAATCTTAGATAAATCTTAATTAAATCTTAATATAGCTCTAATTAAATCCTAATCAAATCCTAAATCATAGACCAAATTCTAATAAAATCTTAATAAAATCTTAACCAAATTCTGAAAAAATCCTAATAAAATTCTAAATTCTAATAAAAAGTTAATCAAATTTTAATCAAATCTTAATCAAAATATTAAATCTTAACTAAATTCTAATCAAATCAATTCACCAGTTCAAAAAAAAAATCTTAAATCACTTAAATATCTACCAATTTCTTTTTTTAATCTAGATATTAATATTTTAATAATAATTTCTCTTTGTTGAGCCATTTAATTTTTTAAAAAATTAGTTGATATATAGAATTTTAAGTCTAAATAGGTTTTACTATTTTTTATTTCAATTAAATTGGCAACCATCACAAGATTACAAAAATCTTCATTGATTCTAAATTTCAATTGCTCGCAACCATAACCCACAAAAACTCTCATTATCGTCAATCTAACCATTCAATTAACAACAAATTTTACAAACACATTTAAAAAAAATATAATAAAAAATTGACAAAATTTCACTTGTAAATATACTCAAAATCTCAATATGCCTTCAAATCACATAAAATCAACTTTAAAAATCTTTTTACAAGTCTATTCTCAAATTCCACTCTCTGATCAATCAAAGAACTCCAAAATTACAATAGGTATGCAGTTTTATGCTTTGGGATCAAATTTTGATTTTGGTTCACAATTGGTCCTCTTTGGATATTAGTTTTTGGTATTTTGAGGTAACTTTTGCTGAAACTTATTTTTAACTGTGTCCTAAAAATGCCAATGTTAATTATTTATTTTATTTATTTTTATTTGGTTCATTTATGCCCATATAAAATAAATAGAAGTCTATTCTATTAGAAGGTAGTATTAGCACTTATTAATTTTTTCTACCTCCTTGTCTATTATCTAAATTTTCAAGATAATTTGCTAAAATATTCTCATTTAAACTCCTCTATAATAAAATATTTCATTTCTTCTTTCACCTAATGGCCATGTTACTACACAATACCAAGTACCATGTCTAGTAATCTCACAGTGCTATTATCAATGATCTATAGCAATAGCATCAAGATTTGGATCTCTAATTGATCAAAAGTTGAATTATTACTTCACTTTTACTTTATTTTTGATGAAAATAGTAAAAAATACAACCAATCAAAGATGGTTTTTATCTCCTTTGGTTTATCTCTTTTGAGCTATTTTATACAAGAGATATATATACTAATAATATTTGTTTCTTATTTTTAACATATATATTGAAAGAATAAAAAATGCATTACAAGCTTGCATTAATATGATTTATAAATTTGATCCATTCTATCGGCTAATACAAACATAATTCTACATAGGCACAATTAAAATGGAAATTAAGACTTTTCGTGCTTACATACATGGGTGTATATGTGCAGTTAAGATGGAAATTAAAGCGAAGACAAAAACGTGTGTGGGGTATGAAGAGGTGGAATGAAGGCGTGGCTCAGGTGTCTCCATTCCCAAGGCCGTTTCCCCCTCCTGGTCGGTTGCCCGACCCTGCTTGCGACTGCCTGACTGCCTGACAGGAGCCAGCTCACGGCGCATCCGTATGTATCATGGAGCTCCATCACGCAGCTCGCAGGGAGTGCAGACGACGAGCTCATCCCCGGCTCACAACACCATCAGCTACCCGGACTATTCCTGCTGCTGCGAGTTGGGTTGTTGGAGTGTTGTTCAAACGTTGGTGCTTCGCTCTGTGGCTTGGATCACCGCAAGCTGGGCTGCAGCTTAACAAGCAGAGGGGAGGTAGCTATTAAAAAAAGCAGGAGGGGCTGCGGCGATGGCGGTGTGGAGGAGCGTTCTCGTGGTTGCCCTCATGGGTTTGCTTGTCATGGGTATCCAAGCTGAGCAGCAGCTTGGTTTCAGCCCCGGTGCAATTTACCCCGATGCTCATCGTGTCCTTGCTGCGGCGCCAAACTACTACATCAGCTATGGGTCACTGAACGCCGACCGGGCGCCGTGCCCCGCCTCCTCCTCTGGCCGGAGCTACTACACCACCAATTGCCAGTCGTCCGGGACCCCGCAGCCGTACGTCAGGAGTTGCTCCCAGATCACTCGTTGTGCCCGCGGCTGATCCAGGGTTTTCCGTGAAGCTTCGACTTCGCACTGTATGTTGTTTCGGCTTTTGGGGTTTGGATGATTTAGAGGTTTTGATATTGAAGTGGCGCTGTTTGCGCGATCGGTTTTGGAGCTCAAGATGTCTATGGTGGAGGATGCTGTTCTTGCGTCCTTTTATGCAGAGGAAAAACTGCATGCCATGGTGAGGGGCTGAAAGCACAATGTAGCTTCCTCTTCCTGGTTACTTTAATGAGTTCAGAGTTATTCGCTTTGGTTATGCTGTAGCTTAATCTTGAGGTAATGCGCCATTGTGGGGTAGTTTCTTTGTAATTTTCGACAGACGGGCGGAGGCGGAGAGGGAGTAGTCTCTACTATTTGAGCTGAAGTCACTGTTTCTGCATTGGAGCGCATCTGTTTCAATAAACTTGGCCACTGTTAGAGCTCATGCCGGAGTCATCTTATAAGAAGTTCGATTCCGAGTGTGACGTAGGTTTGGAACAGTAGCATTTGGAACACGGATTTAGTCCCGTTGATAAGGCTTGGTATTCTTCATCACCTGTCTCGTCCGTTGTTTTCACACTTCAAGCATATTCTTCTTGCTTCACAGTTCATATTAAATTTGGACGATGCTCAGCCCTACATCAAATCTAGTGTGAGTCAAAATAAAAGTGGTTACTAATGGCTACGTGTATGTATGATTTGTGAGAAAAGTTATCTCGTCTCATTTTTATAACCCCTGTAAAAGATATGCATTCTTAGGCAGCATTACCTTAGAGATAACTAACAGTTCATAATAAATGGCCGACGGTAATGGCAATCTCCTTATCCCACCTCATTAAATACTCTTCAGGTACAATAATTGAGCTAGATTGAGTGCAGACTTCGGAATTTTCCAGTGAACCCTATTAGGCCATGAGAAACTGTCGCTTCTGTTACATACCAACAAGGACCAGAATAAAATTGACCAAAGTCAGTAAACAGGTCCCCGTACAGCTTATCAAAATAAGATTGGTCTTAATAAGGCACAAAAGAATATTGAGTGTTTGAATACAACAGCAATGTATCTAAACATATCGCAGTATCATTTACAAGGCAAGGTAAAAATGCCAGTTCATCTATTGCCTTCCAGACTCTTTTGGGAATATCAGGGCATATATTTAATCCTGGAGTCTACTAGGAGAGAGTGATTAAGCGTAGTAGTTAAGACTGGCTTTTTTTTTCGCTTGTACTTGAGTAATACCCTCGTTGAAGTCTTCGTGAGTTATCTGTGGCGACACACATACATGTTAGCAAAAAATAACAATAAGAAAGAATAGAGAGAGTTTTTCCTAACACAATCTTGTATCGAACGACACAGAATTAGAAAAACATTGATGATGCAACAATTCAACATTGATTGACTTTCAATCGAACAGAAAATTAAGATTGATACAAGACTAGCATAGTATGAAAATGCTCCTTGAATAACTTACTTCCGTGGCATCACGGCGAAGCGCCAACATTCCGGCCTCAATACACACAGCCTTCAATTGAGCTCCGTTAAAGTCATCTGTTGAGCGAGCCAACTCCTCAAAGTTGACATCAGGCCTTAAATTCATTTTCCTCGAATGAATCTGCGGTAGAAAGTCCAAGAAAATTATTGAAAATGAAAACTAAGTAGTAAGCCTCTACGTAAATCATATGACTGAACAAGCACGTCATTGCAAACAAGAGGCTTTACCCAGTTCATAATCACTTTGCATGTGCATGCCCGTGTCAAGTATTCATACCTGCAAGATACGTGCCCGTGCCTCCTCGGTTGGATGAGGGAACTCAATTTTTCTATCTATACGTCCTGACCGCATCAGTGCAGGATCTAAAATATCTGCTCTATTCGTGGCTGCTATAACCTGTTCATGAAACATTCAAGAATTAGTTCCTAAAATTTCCTCCTCAGCCCGCACGGCTACACCCACGACTAGGACTTCAACCTTGACTGATTATAGACAAGCAAATAATAGAGCATTTGAGAAATCATTATGTGAAGAATGGAGAAATAATAATGATATTTCAAGGCTCACTTTAATGCGCTCATCACTGCTGAATCCATCCAGCTGATTAAGCAACTCCAGCATAGTTCTCTGCACTTCACGATCTCCACTTACTTCACTGCCAACATAAACCGAAGATCAAGTCACAAATAAGATTGTCATAATATAATCAATTTGACCAAGATAAGTGTACCCTTCCTCTAAAAACGCTCTACAAGATGTTCTGTATAGACACTTTGAAGAGAACATTACAAACCTGTCAAAACGCTTAGTACCAATTGCATCTACTTCATCAATGAAGATGATACAGGGAGCTTTTTCCTTTGCTAGCTGGAACGCGTCCCTCACAAGTTTTGCACCATCTCCAATAAACATCTGTGATTACGTATCAGGATATCTTGTAGTCAATGAAGAGCCTTGACCAGGATAAATGAACAAGATGACTCCACCCATGGAAAAATTAAGTAAATGACAAAGGCGTTAAGGCAAAACAACATCCTAAACCAGAACTGACGAGAGTCCATAGATAAACAAGTAAAACCAAGAAATCACCTGGACGAGCTGAGGTCCAGCAAGCTTTAAATAAGTAGCATTTGTTTGAGCTGCGCATGCACGAGCCATGAGGGTCTTGCCAGTACCTGGTGGGCCATATAATAACACTCCTTTGGGTGGTCGGACACCTAAGCTATCGAACCGTTCTTTGTGGGTCATAGGTAGTACGATGGCTTCCATCAACTCTTGAATCTATCATGCGAAAATAGCAGGCAGACTTCCAGGAATGAGAACTGACAACACGAAAGTAACATGATCCATTCAAGGTAAACGCATGCCAAAATCTCATCTCACGAGTGCATACGAGCAGAAACAAGGAGAGTGGCAATGACCGCCACATGAAAGCAAGAGAGCCCATCACATATCCCTCACGATGAACCTTACAGAGATCATGCACCTTACAGTTACCAACATCCTGAATGCCCTTAAGCACAGGAAAGAAAAAATTAAAATAATTATAGTAAAACAACGGATTCTGAATAATCATAATGACGACTGGCGGAAACCAAGCAAGTACTCTGAGCTCAAACATATGACAAACCCACCTGCTTATCGAGACCACCAATATCTGAATACACCTCTGCAGGCTTCTCGTCGACCTCCATAGCTTTTACACGTGAGTCATATTCCGAAGGCAGTGTATCCAGAATCAGGTAGCTGTCCTTGTTTACTCCAACCAAATCACCGGGCTTCAAACTATCTGGATCGACTAGACCAACTACAGGCAAGAAGATCGTCTGTACACACAAAAAAATGATGTCAGTGCAACATGATATAAATTAAATTCATATTGACAGTCACATGTGGAAAACGTCACTGCCAGAGAATCTCAATGTGGATATAACTTACTTGACGTGTGGATGTCTTCAAGACGACACACTTTCCTCTCCTTTGAGAGTCCAAATCAACATTAGCACCATCCTCTTCAGCTTCATCTTCTGGATTGACGTCCAATATCTGCAGGGCACCGAAATCAACTTAAAAAATATCTGACAACCGGTTGCAACGAAAAACAGGAATTAAGCTGTGGAATAAAAACACGAGAGCTACTTTCTCGATAACGTACAAGGTGCTGCATTTGACAGCACGCGTCAATCATTAAGTCGACGTTGAATTATATCACTATGGATTCGAAACTAAGAAATCAGCAAAACCCTAAGCCAAGCCCACACTTCCGTGATCAGTATCGTCAAGACTAATTTCATGATACATATTGAACCCATCAACTCTACTCGAAACGAAACAAAAGCATGTTAACCCCAGCCTTGACACATTGCTTGCCAAATAAATTCAAAGCTACTGATGCATCCAATAAATGACAAGTGGACAACACCAACCTCCACAATGTTTCCAACTAGGTAAGGCAGCTGTTTATTGAGTTTGATCTTCTCCTGATTCTCATTAATTTTTTCCTTCATAGCATCGTGCTCGAGAGTCAACCTCTGTGTCTCGTCCTACACCAATTTCCAACAGCATCCAAGAATCAGTGAATTACAATCAAAAAGTCCACAGACTAACAAAAACTTGCAACGTTGAAACCACGAGTATGAAAAGTGCAGAAAGTACCTTCAAGATGCGGGTCTCATTCTCCAGTAATCGGCCTCTTCGCTGAATATCTTCCGGTGTCAACCTCGCTAGCTCGTCGGAGGCATCGTCTCCGAAGATGTCCTCCTCGTTCATGTTGAACGCCCTTCTGCGTGTCACTTCCTCCTCTTTTCTCGTCTTCTTCTTCTTCAAGAGCTCGCAATTGTCTTACTTTTGATTAACAATCATCGCGGTGTCCCGAGCACATTTTCACGCCCACACTGCTTGATTTCCGCATAACTCTGCAATTAGGGTTTCAAGCTTCGATCTTGTGAAGAGGAAGGGAGTTGACTGTTATCATCCATCGAATGTATTCATCCATTTGGCATCTTTCATCCGAATCTGCAATCAGCTCGGTGGACACCCTCTTGCACTGCATGCACATCGAGTGCGACACACCCTGCATACATACAATAAAATTCTAATATACATAAAAAAAAAAAAAAAAAAAAAAAAAAAAAAATGAATAAATTTACAATAATAGATTTATATGCAATGTTTTTTGACATTTATTTCCTTTTTTTCGTTTTTTTTGATTACATTTAACTAATTTTAATAATATATTCCACGTAATTCTTTTATTTCTCTTTAAAAAGCTTGTTAATTTTGTTTATGAAATATTTGATTGTAAGTTCATCCTAAAATATTTCATTGTAATAAATAAATATACCGTGTGTATGCGGAGGTGCAGGGCATGGAGTGCGTGTCCACACAGTGAAAAAAGGTGACCACATCACGGTTCTCAAAAATTGTGGTTAAAAAGAATGAATTTTTTCACATAATTGTTACACAATAAAATATGTAAAAAAATTATTATTAATATTATTAATATTTATTTAATTAATTTATATGTTTTTATTTATTTTATTTTTGTAGATTTTAATTTTGGGATTATAAATAAAAATATACTTCATATAGAAGTAATTATGAAATAAATAAATGAATAGATATTTTTGAGAATATATATATATAAATACAAACTAAGAGAAAATTTTAATATTATCATAAAAAATTCAATTATTATAAGTTATTAGAATATTACCATATTATCAAAACTGACATCTTATTGTTTTGGTTGTTTTTCTAGCTTTTTGCATGTGACTTTTTATGATATTTGGTCATATTTAACTAATCTAGACTAAATCAGTGTTCTAATATAGAAGTTACTTTACACTTTTGCATCAAAACTAAATGTGTTACTTATACATAATAATACATATCTAATATTTGAAAAACAAATTCTTTTCTAGGTGATACTAAAGCATCTTCATGCATAATGAGCCAAATAAACTCAATTTCTTTGTATACACATGGTATAAACCATACATCTTATCAATGTAATAAATCTTTTGATTTTAGAATAGAATTTTATTTTATGGTGTTAAAATTAAATTTAGTATAATTTTTATAAATTAGAATTTTATAAAGTTTTACTAAATAAATCATTATTTCTTCCATTGTTGACCAAAAATACATATTAGGATCCAAAATAAGTTTAGTAATTATAAAAATACTATAATTTAATAATAATTATTATTATTATTATTTTATATGTTTTTCAAAGCCATTCTAATTTAATTTTTAAATCATATTGCTTAATTTTATAAGTTGTTGTGATGAAAAAAATTAATTAATAAATAGCTTTATACTATAATATAGATTTTTAATTAGATCTTGAATTATTGAAATTAAATTTTTGTTCATCAATACAAATTAAATAGTGTATCTTTTTTAATATTTAAAAACTAAATAAATAATTATAATACTTCTAAGAATAATTTATCATTTTTAAAAATATTTAAAAAATTACTTTAATTTTACTTTATTCAATAATAAAGAATGAAATAATCTCTAAAATAGTTTTTGATTCTTTGAATATTATTTGACTATAAAAAGGCTATACTTTTATTTTTATAAAAAATTCAATAGAAATTTCTAAATTATTTTATAAAAATTATTCCAAAATTTATTAAAATAAAAATAAAAATAAGAATAAATTAGATATATAAAAGATACCATAGAAGCCCAGATCTTATTTATTTTACTATAATTTGTGATTTGAACTTCTCCTTATGCTTAGAAATCTATGTTTAAATAAAATTTAGTTATTTATCACAATATATATGTATATATATATATATATAGAGAGAGAGAGAGAGAGAGAGAGATTTTGATAAAAGTAAGTAGATTAGAATAAAAATAAAAATAAAAGTAAGTAGATTCTAGCATGAGCTCCTATCTTATTTATAAAGAAAAAACATAGAAAATTACGGATGTGTCTAAATTATCAAATTCAACAAGATCACCATCAAGAATAGGTATTTGCTACCTTTGATATCTATACTTTTTGATTGATTGAATCAAGCCAAGATTTATACAAAAATAAATGTACTAAGAGAAACAACTTATTATGAATTTAAATAAGAAATGAATGAAAGATAACATTTTAAACCAAAATTGAGTGTTTTAAATTCAATGTTATGCCTTTTAGATTCATAAATGAGTCAATTTCTTTTCAATATCTTATGACTATTATTTTTTGAAAGTTTTTAGATGATAATATTTTTTATTATCTAGATAATATTCAAATTTAGTATAAAAACACAAAAGAGTATGAACTTCTTCTTGGATGGAGGTTACACAAATTTACAAATACAAGACTTTATACCAAGATAGAATTGTGTGTATTTTAAACTATTTAAGTTGAATTCTTAAGATATATCATATCAAATGGTAGTCTTATAATGGATCTTAAAATAATCCAAATCATCATAGATTAAAAGATTTTTAAAATAATAAAAAAATATTCAATATTTTCTTCAAATTTATTAATTACTATTAGATTTTTATCAAGAATTTTTTTCAAGTTGTAGCTCTACTAACTTATTAGACTTGTAAAGACAAACTTGAGTAGAATAATGAAGTGCAATAAGTATTTAAAGCTTTAAAGGTAACTTTTATTTTTGCATCAATCTTATTTTATATTGACTTCTTTAAGGTATTTTTTATGATAATAAATGCACTCAAATATGCCATGATTATAATATTATCACAAATAGAAGTAGGTAAAAAACTTCACCTTTTTTCTTTTCATTTAAAAAATTTCTAACAACCAAGATTAATTACAAGATTCAAGACGAAGTGATTTTTACAATTGTGGATTTATTTCAAGAATGGTGTCATTTTCTAAAAAAAAACCTTTAATCTAATAATTATTTATATAGGTCACAATAATCTTAAGAATTTAATGTCAACATATATTTTAAATTGTCAACAAGCATGTTGAAGCATGTCTTTGCCAAGATCTGTATTTTATATCATTCATTGTTCAAAAAAATAATAAGATTTAATATATAGCCTTTATAGATGTTATTATCTTTTCCAAAAGGAAAAAATACAACTTTTAATCAAAAATAAACTATCCTTTTAAAGACAAAGAAATTTTATCTTCAAGCAATGAAATCAACAATAATTGTTGATTCAACATATCTTGGACAAATTCAATTGAACATATCCTTAGATGCTCTTATATGTGATATTAAGAACAATTATTCAAAATCTCATGATATTTCCAACTTTGAATGTAAAAAAAAAAAAAAAAAAAAAAAAAAAAAAAATCCTCTATTTTGAAAGATGCTCAAGTTTTTTAAGCTATTCATAATTTTTCAGCTATAGGATACTTTGAATACAACAAGAATTAATCGTAAGATATTTTTGGTTGTTTAAATATAAAAGGTAGTTAAAGACTTTGTACTATCATGTTATATTTGTTTGAGATCAAAAATTCCTTAATATCAATCTTATAAACTTCTCTAACCATTATCGATACAAAACAACCATGGTCTATTTTTTCTACAGATTTTATCAAGGATTTTTTCAATTTTAAGTTCATCTGAGTATATATTTGTCATAACAGATTATTTTACTAAGATGGTATATTTTGTACTATGTGAAAAGATTATTAGGGATGAAAAAAAATTAAAGTTTTTTTTGATAATATTTATTGCCATCATTGATAATCAAAGAATATTATATCCAATAAAGACATTAAATATTTGTATTAAGATTTAAAAAAAAAAATTCAAAATATTTAAGGTGGATATAAAATCATCTTTTTTTATCTAACTTCAAATTAATAGATAAATGAAGCAATCAAATCTATTTTTAGAGAAATATCTAATATATTTTATAAATTACCATCAAGATTATTAGAATTTGTTTTTTGCCATTTGTAAGTTTATTTATAATAACAAGATAAATTCTTCTATTTTATAATTTTTTTTGTTGATATAGTTATCATCAAAAAATTGACACTTTTAACTTCTCAAATGTATTTAAGTAATGAAGTGGTAAAAAATTTAACAAATTATTTATCAAAGTTACATATAAAAATAAAATTATAATTCAAAAAAATTCAAAAACAACAAAGAATTAACATAGATATGTATTATAAGAAACAACCTCAATTTAATATGGTGACAAGGTATAGTTACTTTGTTGTGATATCAAGATTAATGGCCTTTACAACAAGTTGGATATTATATACTTATAACATTTTCTATTTGTGAACAAATTAATCTAGTTGCTTATTGATTATACTTATTATAATCTATGAAGATCGATCATATATTCCATGTATCTCTTCTTGAGCCATAAAAGATAGTATATATACTAAAAAAAAAAACAAATATTATATTTTTCTTTAAAAGTAGATAATAATCAAGAGTTTGAGATTGAAGAAATCTTAGATTCAAAGTAATATCAAAATATATTTTAATATCTTATACATTGAGATGGATATGATATTGATAAATGTATAAGGGAGCCAAACAAGAATCTTACAAATGTAATAAAGTAATTTTTACAACCTTCAAGATAATATAATAAAGATAAATAACTTCTAAAAATATATATTATTTTTTGAATAAATAGTGAAATATTGTGTGCTTGATATGAAAACCTTGAAAGAGACTAAAAATATTTGGAAATATTATTAGAAGTAAGAGCAATCTTTGATAATATTTAAAATATTTTATTTGAAAAAAAGTTAAAAAATTTTAAACAATGATTAAATATTAGAGTACTCTTTTGATTCTAGTATAGAGTATTATGAGTAGTTAACAAAATCTATCAAATATCTTAAAAAAAAATATATATTAAAATATTTAGAAAATATAATTTTTTGTATTTTAGACTTCTTCACTATGTAATAACTGCTCTTAATGGAATTCATTCCTAAATGAAGGCATAATGTCATAGAC